GCCCTTATTATATGAAATGTTAAAGGGACTTACCTAAGAAAAAGAAGATAAAAATGATGAACAGTGAAAGGCTAACTCAAAGTTATTAAGAACCACACCTAAAACAAAAACAAACTAAGAGGACAGCTAGATCAGGAGCAAAACCATAGAAATGAAGATCTCATGGAGGGTTAGCAACAGGGGAGTGGGAGGAGAAGGGGGGTGAAGGTACAGGAAATCAGTGGCATAGACGATAGGTAGAAAATAGATAGGGGGAGGGCAAGAATAGTATGGGAAATATAGAATCTAAAGAACTTGAGACAGGTAGTCATAAACCAAAGGGGGGATGGTGGGGAGAGTTGTGCAGGGTGGAGGGGAATGAAGGGGGGGAATAGAACTGTAATGACATAATCAATAAAATATACTTAAAAAAAACAAAAAAAAATTAATCTTCCTCAAATGCTTCCTTAAAGACTCTTACTTAAATGCTTTCAGAATTCTCCTGTGAAACCATCTGGTCCAGGGCTTTTGTGCTTCGGGAGATTTTTTATTACTGCTTCAACTTCATTTGCTGTTACTGATCTATTCAGGCTTTCTGCTTCTTCCTCATTGAGTTTTGGAAGATTATATTTTTCTAGAAATGTGTTCATTTCACCTAGGTTTTCAAATTTCTTGGCATACAGTTTTTCATAGTAATTTCTTACAATCATTTGTATTTCTATGGTGTCAGTTATAATCTCTCCTCTTTCATTTCTCATTGTGTTTATTTCGGCTCTCTCTTCTTTTCCTGATAAGCCTGCTTAAAGGCTTGTCGATTTTATCTTCTCAAAAAAAGACCTTCTGGATTCATTGATCCTTACAATTGTGCTTGTAGTCTCTATGTCATATACTTCTGCTCTGATCTTAATTATGTCCTTCTTTCTACTTGCTCTGGACTGTCTTTGTTTTTGTTCCTCGAGTTCTTGTAAGAATAGGGTTAGGTTGTTTGTTTGACATGTTTCTATCTTTCTTAGGTAGGCCTGTATTGCTATGAACTTTCCTCTCAGGACTGCCTTCGCTGTGTCCCATAAGTTTTTGGTTGTTGTGAGTTCATTTTCATTTGTTTCCAGAAACTTTTTGATTTCTTCCCTAATTTCATTCTGGACCCCTTCGTTAACAACATCTATTCAATCTGCATGATTTTGAATGTTTTAGGTCTTTTCTCTTGGAGTTAGTTTCCAGTTTCAGTCCCTTGTGATCGAAGAAAATGCTTTATATGATTTTGGTTTCGTTGAATTTGTTGAGGCTTGTTTTGTGTCCTATCATGTGGTCTCTCTTTAAAAATGTTCCATGCGCATTTGAAAAGAATGTGTATTTAGCTTCTTTGGGGTGGAGGGTTCTGGATATATCAGTTAATTCCATTTCATCTAGGATGTTGTTCAATGCCATAATATCTTGGTTGATATTTTGTTTGGAAGAGCTGCCCATTTTTGACAGTGGGATGTTAAAATCCCCAACTATAATTGTGTTTCTGTCAATATCTTTCTTGAAATCCTCTAAGATTTTCTTTACACATTTGGGTGTTCCTATGGTGGGTGCATATACATTTATAGTGTTTATGTCTTCTTGGTGGATTCTCCCCTCGAATATTATGAAGTGACCTCTGGGTCCCTTTTTATGACCCTTTTTTTGAAGTCTATTTTGTCTGATATGACTATTGCTACCCTAGCTTTTTTCTTGGCCGTTTGCTTGTTAAATTTGTTTCCAGCCTTTTAGTTTTAGCCTGTGTAGGTCTTTTTTCCTGAGGTGGGTTTCTCATAGGCAGCATATGTGTGAGTCATGCTTTCTTATCTATTCAACTACTCTATGTCTTTTGATTGGAGCATTTAATTCATTTACATTTAAGGTTATTTTGATAGGTACTTATTCATTGCCATTTTTATACCTGTGTTTCTCTTTGTCTCTCTTTTTTTCCCTTTCCTTAAATCAGTCCTTTCAGTATTTCTTGCAGAGATGGTTTGATGGAGGTATATTCTTTTAGACTTCTTTTGTCTTGGAATCTCTTTATTCAGCCTTCTACCTAGATTGAGAGCCTTGCAGTGTAATTGGTTGCAGGCCACTGTTTCTCATTACTTGGAATATTCCTTGCCATTCTCTTCTTGCTTGGAGCATTCCATTGATAAGTCAGCAGCTCACCTTATGGGAGCTCCCTTGTATGTTACTTCCTTTTTCGCCCTTGCTGCCTTTAAGATTCTCTTTGTCTTGGAATTTTGCCATTTTAATGATGATGTGTCTTGAGGTGGGCCTCTTTGGTTTCGTCTTGATTGAAACTCTCTATGTTTCCTGGATTTGTGAGACTTTATCTCTCATCAAATTAGGAAAATTTTCTCTCATTACTCTTTCAAATACATTTTCTATCCCTTGTTCTTCTCTTTCTGGTATCCCTATTATATGAATATTACTATGTTTCATATTGTCTTGCATTTCTCTTAATCCTTCTTCATTCTTTCTGAGACTCTTTTTCTTTTCTTGCTCTTTCTGGGAGGCTTTTTGTTTTTTGGTTTTTTTTTGTATTTTGACCTCCAACTCACTTATCCAATCCCCTGCTTCATCGACCCGGCTTTTGATTCTTTCCACTGTGTTCTTTAGTTCAGAAATTGTAGTCTTCATTTCCTCTTGGCCCTTGCTGATAGCTTCTAGTTCCTTTTTCATGTTGATATAGTTTGCACTGGGTCCACTGTAATTTCCCCTGTAGTTTCTGGTAGCTCATTATAAGCTCTTTGAACTTCCTAATAACCAGTGCTTTGAATTCAATATCTGATAGCTGACTTGCCTCTATTTCATCTAACATTCTTTCTGAGTCTTCCTCCTTTCCTTTCATTGTGGGGGGGGGGGGTGTTTATCTGTCTTCCCATTGTTTTTGAGAGTCCTCTTGTTAGCTTCAGCTCCTTAAATTGATTTGTTCTGGCTTCCTGGATGTATGCTGTGAACTTCTGTGGTATAATACCTGTGAGATTCAGTGGTGTAGTCTCCTTGATCTCCCCAGCTCACTGCTCTTGGGCTGTCTTTTATGTTGTCTCTGAGTTTGTCTTTGGGTTTTTTATTGTTCTGGGGTCTTTCTTTTGTGGGTCCTTCCCACCATCTGGTGAACTGATGGTCCCTCTGTCTGCTACCCATTTTAATTTGTTGTACTGGTGAGGGCAGGTTTTGTTGAACCTACTTCTGCATGTACAGGGCTTTGAGGATTCTCTTTTGCTTTTGTTCAGTTTTTTTGTACTAGGTAGTTTCTCCACTGTTTAGTTGTATTTCCAGATATATGTTGGGTTGAGGTTAGTGTGGTTTCCACTTCCTCTTTCACATTCTTCTGTTGTTATATGTTGGTGGTTCCTTTACTGTTGGGTTTCCTCTTCCAGTGGGTATCCTGGTGTTCACTGCTTCTACCTACTCTTTGTGTGCGTGTGCGTGTGTGTGTGTGTGTGTGTGTGTGATGAGTTAGAAGAGAAGGCAAAATGGTTTATGGCAGCAGGAGAATATTCCATGATATTTACAGTACCAGCCAGTAGAGGAGAGATAGGAGATCCCCTGGCTATGTACAGTGATAACCATAATCCTAAACCCAACTAGCCACTTTTTAGAAAGGACGGAAAGAAGATAAGGCTCTTGTTGGGGAGGAAAGGTTTGTGAGTTGAATCTAGAAAGCAGTGAGGTTGAGGGAGGTCAGATTCTGAGGTAAGGTGAGAACAAAGGATGGTAAATAGGTGTAATGTGAGAGAGAATAGAGTTAATCACTACCGTATTATAGTTCAGGCAACAATGAAGTGGGCTAAGATTGGGGGGGTTGTATTTACAATAGTATGGAACAATTATTATTTACAATAATATTAGAAAGACAATCATATGACAGAATCTATGAGGTACCAAGATTAGGGAGTACTGGACCTTCAATAGTGTGCTAATGGAGCAAGGGGAAGTAAAGGACAGTAAATTAGCAATACACCATGAATAAGGGGACAGAAGAAACCTGTCAAGTGATAGAATACATCCAACCAAGGTAAAGAAGACTATACAGAAAGAGGAGGAATACAAAGATACTATTAAAATAAAAGATGTAAGAATAATGAAAAATACAAATATGCAGTAACTTGTAGTTTTTCTGCTATAGCAAAGTGAAATTTGTCTCTCTGTCTCTACTCTTGGGATGCCCACTCTTTGGGTCCAACTCTGGTCTTTTCACCATTCCAAATTTTTTGTCTCACTTGGGGGGAGTGAAAAGAAAAAAAAAGGCAGCAGAAGGAAGGAAAAAGCAGTAAGTTTGGTAAGTAAGAAAGAAGGAATAAAACAAGAAAGAAGAGGAGAGAGGGTAAAAGTATTGAAAGATGAAACAATAATAAAGTTAAAAAAATAAAAGATCATTTTTTAAAAAAACTGTTGTTGGTTTCCAGCTGGCCAAACCATTTTTTCTGGTCACACTAGCTGCAGCAGTCTCAGGGGCGATTGGGCGATTGGTGTGGCCTTTCTCCCTTCTCAGTGTACTCAGCAGGTCTCACAAGGGCTCTCCCAAGATCCGGACTGGCGCTTCTCCCCAGCGCCCCACTGAAAGCAGACTTCCCCCAGGAGTCAAAGTCCTGAGCTGGGATGCGGGCATGAGCTCCTGCCCAGGCTTCCTGGTCCCACAGGCTTGGGCATAAACCTTTCCCAGTGCTATGGGGGAATGCAAGAGTGACTCTCAATTCTCCCAAGCCGGCGACTACAGACTCCACGGGTGCTCAAGACCCCTTGTTTACTTCCTCATGCCCATTCCTCTCTCTGACACTTTAAGCAAACAGATCTCTCCCGGCATTTTTCAAACTGCGCCTGGCCAGGTAGGGAGGGAGCTGACAACCTGGCTCTCTCCCAAGGACCTTGCTGCCAGCCCTCGGCTCCCAAAGAGTTCGCAGCAGACCCGTCCCAGGCCCTGGCACAGCCCAGCAGAGGGGGCAGCTTCGGCCTGCGGCCTCTGCACTGTTCCCTCAGACCTTATTGACCTGCAGCCATCTGCTCACCATCTGGTCATTCAGTGTTCGCTCCAATTTCTGGACTCCTATTTTCCTATATGCTGGGTCACTGTTGGCTATTTGCTGTACTCCTCCACAGATCAGGCCGGTTTTTCTCCCATGCGTAGGGGGAAGGAGAATCCTTTGTCCTATTCCGCGGCCATCTTCTCCTATCTCACAAAGAAATTTTTACATCCTTTATTGCAGTAGATCCTTAAAACATTCCCCCCGCCAAATAACCACACCACTGTTTGGGGGAATTATCCCTACATAGTCATAGCCCTGTGATTTGGGTGGAGTTAACCTCAGTGCTAGTACCAGGAATAGCTTAAGGCAATCAACATACTACATCTTTCAGGCCTCATTAATTGGTTCAGCAATGGTCATTTAGCTAAGTGGACATACATGATCTTGTTTTCTGGGACCTCTATGAAAGAGAACTTGCTTTTTTTCCATGGGAATTACTGAAAGATTCTGAAACTTTCCTGAGTGGTACAGTATAAAGATGTAAGATCTACAATGAGACCTGCTACAACTTTAGCCCTCATAATGAAGAATGGAGGAAAATGGGAGAACAAAAAGAAAGCAAGAAAGCAGAGAAGAGGAGTCAAAACAAATAGTAAAAAAATATATGTGAGTAAAAGAAAAAAAGATACCTAAAGCTAGAGAAGCACACATGAGAAGAAAAGAGAGAGTCCACACAACAGGAATAGGATAGAGGCAAGAACCAGAGAAAAACAAAGGTTTGGTTCAGTCAGTTCAAAGAATGAGGATGTTCTTATCACCCATGGCCTTACACTGCAGGTAGGCTTCAGCATAAATTATCATCTGTTCTATTGCCCTCAGAAACTCTCTAACATTGTTTACAGCTCAGAGGCTACTCTGAATGCAGTTGCTGTAGCAAGTATCCAAGCAGACACCGTCTTTGGTTGAAAAAACAGTAACCTAACAGAAGTTAGACAGAAAGAATCAGAAGCCTTGAGAGGTTAAAATTCAGATTAATAAGCATGACAACAAAGTCCTTAATAATCCCCACCCACCACAACATTCTCTAACCCTGTTAGAGAGCAATCCAGAAGTATGCATCACCTACAACTCTCCCATACAACCTGGCTGCCTCCACTAGTAAGCCTTAAATGGATATGTCACCTCCCACTCCAAGCTAGCTAGCACAGAGACTGGAATTCACAGAGTGCTCAGTTGAGTAAAGCTGAAACAAAAAAATGCAGTCATCCCTTAACTTCAGATTCTATTTTTCTCAAAATTCTCATATGTCAATAGAAATATATTCCATTAGGTTAAATTCCATATTCCTCAATCTCTGGATCTAAACATAATTAGAAAATGACTTAGAAGTGCCCAATTTATTGCACTATTTTATTATGGCTTTTGTCACACTGAAGGAAGGAGAGGTTTTGCCGTGCTTCTTTGTCACTGAGTGCTCCTTTGCTTCCACTGCCTGTTACTCAATTTGCTTGACTCTGCAGCTTCACCACAGAAGAGCTTCACCACAGAAGAGCTACTGGCTTCCTAAAGTAGGGAAAAGAGAACCAGTCAGGATGTCAAAATCTAAACTTCTTGTGGCACTGTTGGTCAAAAAGATCAACCTCTCTTAGGCTCATTTTCCTTATAAGTAATATGGGAATAAAATTTCCTTCCTGCCCTGGCTGGTGTAGTTCAGTGGATTGAGCTCGGGCTCTGAACCAAAGGGTCACTAGTTCTATTCCCAGTCAAGGCACATGCCTGGGTTGCAGGCCAGGTCCCCAGTGTGGGCCATGTGAGAGGCAACCACACATTGATGGTTTTTTTCCCTCTCTTTCTCCTTCTCTTTCTTTTTCTCTAAATAAATAAATAAAATCTTTTTAAAATTTTTCCTTCCTTACCAACCTACCTTAAGTGATTATTCTGAGGATCACACAAAACAGTTGTGAAAATACACAACTCTAAAATAAGGCATAATAGATTTTCATTGTTAGAAGGGAGTGAATGACCATAGCCAAGATATGAAAACAACCTAAGAGTCATTCAGTGGATGAACGGATAAAGAAAATGTGATACATACACATATACACAGTTGACCCTTGAAAAATGTGATGTTAAGAGCAACAACACCCCTACTCCCTTCTCTACCCACCCCCCAACTGCACCACACACACACAGTTGAAAATCAACATATAATTTTCAACTCACCAGCTGACCCTCAGTATCATGGACAATTAGTTCCAGGACCCACAATGGGTACCAAACTCCAAGAATGTTCAAATCCCTTATATAAAATGGTATAGAACAACACATATAGTCAGCCATCTACCTCCTAAGGTAGATAGATTGAAAATGCTGTTACCATAGGTAAATGTGATATTCAAATTCTCCCACAACCACATCAACATTCCAACTAAAACTAGAGAACAAACATCATTCAGAGGCACTTAAAATCTCACAGAACAGAAGTCCTACAACTAAGAATATCGAGAAGAAGCCACATCAAAACTGATAGGATGCCAAAGGGCTGGTCCCACGCCCATGTGTAGTGGATCAAAATCAGGAGGGATATCTCAACTGTGGAGGTTCCCTGTCAAGAGTCAAGAGTCCCGAGTCCCAGCACCACAAGAGCCCCCCACACCCAGGGTTCCAGTGCCAGGAAAAGAAGTCCTCATAACTTATGGCTGTAAAAACCAGCAGGGAGTATATACTGTGAGATGAAGGATTCTGGAGCCCCGGGTGTGAGTCTTAAAGGGCCTGCACGTGGACTTACTCAGACTCTATCCCTCTGAGCTCTAACTCTGAGGCAACAGCTCAAAAGGGACCAGGGACATATAGAAAGAAATTGCATTATCTGGTAACATGGCAAGAGATGGAGGGGAAGCTTTCTCACAAACAGAAGTACTGGCAGATGCTACTGTTCCTTTGCTGAGTTCTCCCTCGACAGAGTTGGCAAGCAGGCTCCATATATGAGTCTCAATTAGCCCAGCTAATACTGTTTGTCCTGCCCTTGTGATTCTCTGAGAACGAGCACTACACAACTCTCAGGCCCAACCAAGCCATTTCCAGTGGCTCTTTCACAAAAATAGGCTGTCCTGTCTCATGCTTTCAACTTTCCTAATATCTCTCAAATAAGCAGACTCTGGCCTCTCACTAAGAGGCTCCAGGTCTAGAACTAGTGGCAGCCAACCTTGGTTCGCACCATTGCCCCTCCAAGGCACCTACAAGCCCAGCTCAAGTAGTAGCCATCTGCATACCACTTTCTGGCTCATGCTGATTGGCCATGGGCAGTGCCTGGGAGGCAGCTCACCTTGTACTACACCTCACAGAAGGTACCAGAATCAGCATACCCAGTAGACAACTTCAGACTGTATCAAAACTCCACCCAAAACTCCAAGCGACAGACTCAAGATGGAACCTAAGCAGGCACCAGAGCTCTGCTGATATAACTCCTGCTCATGCTCCTGCTCCATGGAGTCACACCCTAGAAAACTGATCTTCCACGGCGGTCACAGCCAGTGCCCCCAGCCAGTCAACCTGGGGTAAATCCCTCACACTGAGATGCCAACAGCAATAAAGCCTCAAGTACAACAGGAGGGTATACAGAGCCCACACAGAGGACACACCTGAGTTTCACCTAAGGTGATCCGGGAGGATGTACCACTGGACCCTACCTAAGGCCATTCCACCAACACTGGAAGATGTAGCAGCTTCACCTAATATATTAAAAAAAAAGACACAGGGAGGCATCCAAAAAAATGGGACAAAAAAGTCACAAATGAAAGGAGAGAACAACATTCCAGAAAAATAACTATACCAAATAGAAACCAACAACTGAGCAAAGGCAGAGTTCAAAACACTAGTTATAAGGATGCTCAATGAACTTAGAGGAAGAGTAGATAAACCTAGTGAAAACTTCAACAAAGAGATAACAAACATAAAAATGGAGAAAATATAAAAAACAAACAGCTATACTTGAAGACCATATTAACTGAAATGAGGACTACATTACAGGGAACCACCGTGGAGTTGATTCAGCAGAAGATCAAATCAAAGACTTGGAAGATAAGATAGCAGAAAACACCCAAATAGAATGGCAAAAAAAAAAAAATCCCCCCAAAATGAGGATAGTATAATAGAACTTCTGGGACAACTTCAAGTATACCAATAATCAAATCATGGGGATTCCAGAAAAAGGAAAGAGAGCAAAAAATTGAAACCTATGTGAAAAAATGAGGAAAAACTTTCCTAACTTGGTGAAAGTAATGAATATACACATCCAAATAGTGTGAAGATCACAAACAACATGAACCCAAAGGTATTCACACCAAGATATATCATAATTAATAGCAAAATGTTAAAAACAAAGACAGAATCTTTAGGACAGCAGAAGAAAAGCAGTTATTTACCTAAAGAGAGCTCCCATAGGCTGTCAACTAATTTCTCACAGAAGTGTTTCAGGCCCAAAGGGACTGTCAAGATACATTCAAAGTGATGAAAAGCAATGACCTACAACCAAGACTGCTCTACCCAGGAAAGCAATTATTTATAAGCAAAGGACATACAATGAGGTTCCTATACCACAAAAAGCTAAAGGAGTTCATCGCCATCAAATCAATATTATAAAAAATATTTAAAAGTTTTCTTTAAGAAGTAAAATGAGTCAAGACTTCCAGCTAAGATGGAGGCATGGGTAAATACACTGTTCCTCCTTATACAACCAAAGGAAAAACAACAAATTTAAAAACAAAAAACAACCAGAACTGCCAGAAAATCAAACCATATAGAAGTCTGACAACCAAGGAGTTAAAGAAGAAACATTCATCCAAACCAGTAGGAAGGACAGAGACAAGTAGTCAGAGCAGAGAGGACTTATTGCAAGGGGATGGCTGAAGGACCAGGACAGACAAAGCTGTGGCTGATGGAGTGGGTGGTCCCACAGTTGCACGTGGATAAATCAGGATGAGCAACTGGGGAGTGAGAGAGACCATGAAACCCAGGGTTCCAGTGCAGGGAAATAAAGCCCCCAAACCAATGACTGAAAAAACCTATGGGGATTAAGGCGGCAAGAGAAACTCCCAGCCTCACAGGAGAGTTCATTGGAGAGACCCACTGAGCCCTAAAATACTCACAAAACCACCCACCCACAAATCAGCACCATAAGGGCCCAGTTTTATTGTGGGCAGTGGTAGAAATGACTGAAAGTCCACAGAGAGCTCAATAAGCAAGACTGTTCCATCTGGAACACTCTCCCACAGATTGTACCTAAATGCAGCAACGTGGGTTGCCCCACCCTGTTGAATACCTAAGGGTTTGCCCCTTAGAACATAAACGGCAATCTGAGACAAAAATATATGGCCCAAATGAAAGAAGAGATCACAGCTCCAAAAAAGAAAAAAATGCAAGTGAGTCACGAAGAGATAGCCAACCTATCAGATGTACAGCTCAAAACACTGGTAGTCAGGATGCTCACAGAATTGGCTGAGTATGGTTGCAAAATAGGGGAAAAAGTGAATGCTATGAAAAGTGAAATAAAGAAAAATTTATAGGGAACCACCAGTGACAGGAAAAAAAACTGGAACTCAAATGAACGGTTTGTACTAGAAAGAAGAAATAAACATTCAACCTGAAAACAATGAAGAAATAAGAATTCAAAAAATGAGGAGAGGCATAGGAACCTCTGGGACAACCTTAAACATTCCAACATCCAAATCATAGGGTGCCAGAAGAAGAAAAATAAGAGCCAGAAATGGAAAACTTATCTAAAAAAATAATGAAGGAGAATGTCCCTAATCTGGCAAAGGAAATACACTTTCAGGAAGTCCAGGAGGCTCAGAGAGTCCCAAAGAATTTGGACCCAAAGAGAAACACACCAAGGCACATCATAATTACATTAGCCAAGATTAAAGATAAGGAGAAAAATCTTAAAAGCAGCAAGAGCAAAGGAGTTACCTACAAAGGAGTACCCATAAAACTACCAGCTGATTTCTCAAAAGAAACCTTGCAGGCAAGAAGGGGCTGGAAAGAAGTATTCCAAGTCATGAACGGCAAGGGCTCATATCGAAGATCAGTCTACCCAGCAAATCTGTCATTAGAATAGAAGGGCAGATAAAGTGCTTGCCAGATAAGGTCAAGTTAAAGGAGTTCATCATTACCAAGCTCTTATATGCAATGTTAAAGGGACTTATCTATGAAAAACAAGATCAAAACTATGAACAGTAAAATGACAACAAACTCACAACTGCCAACAACTGAACCTAAAAACAAAAATGAACTAAGCAAACAATTAGAATGGGAACAGAATCACAGAAATTGAGATCACATGGACAGTTATCATGGGGATGGGGACAGGGAAGCGGAAATGGGGGAAAAAGGTACAGGGAATAAGTAGCATAAATGTTAGGTAGGAAAAAAAACAGGGGGAGGTTAAGAATAGTACAGGAAATGTAGATGCCAAAGAACTTAATTGTATGGCCCATGTACATGAACTAAACAGAGGAGGGGATTGAGGATGGGAGGGGGTGTGTAGGGCAGAGATAAAGGGGGTA